TCGGACCCGGGGAAGAAGCATCTGTACATTGTCCACAGATACGTCGAAGAGGCGTTCAAAAACATGGACAATCTCGAAATCGTAGAGACGCGAGTCATGACAAAGTGAGTAGCTCTTCGGCATTCTAATCACTCCCGTAAAGTAGAATTCGCCGGGCTAATGACTTTCTCAGGTCAATTGGACAGACAATTGGATCTCTGAAGAATCTCCAAGCTTTGCGCGTGTTCGCGACCCAATTCGAAGCCGAACACCTGAAGCCGTTGGCCAAAATCAAGAACCTCAAGCATCTAGACGTGGAAGACTACGGGTTCGGCGGCATGATCGGCAGCGGAAACCACATTGTTCGGTCTATTCTCTTGAACTCGGCATCCACGCTTCGGAGCCTCCTTGTGAATTCGAGCTCCTACTCGACCAACTTTTTGCAGGATTGGGAGAAAATGGTCTCTGGGGTCGGTTCTCTCAAGGGCAAAAGATACTCCCTGACCGCCTTGACGTCTCTTACGCTGGATGGAATGTTGTTTGACGAAAATTTTATCAAGTCGCTACAAAAGGCCATTGACTTTCTCAGCTTGCAGCATCTCTCTCTTGGGCATCTATCCAAGGGCAGGAGCCTATTCTTCCAACACCTTACAAGTCTGGTTTCGTCTCGGGACTCGGCAGCAGGCATAAGCTTGCGAAGTCTGCGCCTGACCATATCAGAGTACCGATACGACGCGACGCCCCAAGAGACTAAGGAGGACATGGAGCACCAGTGTCGCTTCCTCTCTTCGTTTGACACCTTAACCTCTCTGGAAATTCATGACTACAGCCAGTATCCGGAAGAGATCCCCGCGAACCCCGGCCTGGAAGGCATTGTGCTGCGAGCCATTCTCAAGCACAAGAAACTGAAGACCTTGAAGATTTCATATTCCGGAATTGTCAGCGGCCGCAAGATTCCGTACCTGTCTGCGGAAATTGTAGAAACCATCATCGAGGGCTTGCCCGAGCTGGAGCATTTTGAGTTTGCACCCGAAGAATCAGAAATCGTACGTCAATCACACTGCTCATCGTTTCGAACTCGACCAGCAATACTGACACATGTCAATAGGACAAAATTGGAAGAGCACTCGTTCGTGGAACAAACCTCAAAGCCATCACTTGCTTCCCCCATGACAGCTGGTCCGGCTATCCTCGCCCCGATGAGCCAGGCCTCAACATCCTGACCGGCATTCTCGATGCTGTTCTCAATGACCACGGCAATTCGCCCGGTGTAAAATTCGTCTGGGAAGAACACTCGAGGCTCAAAAGAGTATCCGTGGCCTACAAAGTCTGGGACGTGGCGTCAAAATTTGGAAAACCAGAAAAGGGTGTTAAGAAGGCGGAAAAGTTGTGCGGGGATGGGCTTATGAAGCCTGAGGTTTTGTACCGGGATATAACTGGAAGCTTCAATCGGCGTATACATGTTGGGTATGATCCTGATTTTGAATGGGTTGAAAAGGTAGACCAGGATCTTGCCTGATCGGTTTCTTGGCTATCTGGTCTTGGGCAGTCACCAAGCCAGCCAGAAGCAGCAAAGTGGGAGGCACGCAAGCTGATGAGCATAGCTAGTATACGTAGAGCGGCGTGTCTTTGAGTCTGCAATCATGATGACATCGCCTTGGTCTCGCTTGATTCAGCGGTAACTGTCAATAAGAAACAAACTTGACACTTGAGCTCATGGACTTGACAGAGATTGGAGTCATATGTTGAGGCAATGACAGACAGCGCCATTACGATTGGCGATGTAGGTTAGACAATCCATCGTCATGTGTACCAAAGCCTCGAACAGCTCAGGTTGCGTGTGTGCAGCTGGTTACCGCGTACATGAACGTTCCAAACTCATCAACACTTTCCAGCCACCGTTCTGACCTGACCCGTCTGTCAAGAATGCCAGCTTCATCCAAGTCTGCTGGCGTAGGCCAAAGCTCGTCTATGCGAAAGTCTCCATCAGGCCAGTCTACGAGATGGATGTTGTACTCAGCTTCCCATTCGCCCCTTGTCTGTGCTCTCCACAGCATTCTGCTTGCTGGTGCTGGTAAGCCTTGCAATTCAGTTCCCAGCATCGTCGGAAGGCCGTCTTGGGCCGAGAGTAAGCTGTCGAAGAGGTACATGGTGAAAACTGCACGGCGCTTCGACTCCACGACGATCCAAGATTCCCAGGTTGGGCGGGTGCGTTGTTGCTCAGCAATACACATTAACCCTTGCCGGCTACTACAGCACGCAAGTTTCTGAAGTTCTACGATTGTTTGTCGGAAGAATGGAACGGATACCTGGCCGACCTTGACGAAAACAATCATGGAATACATGAGGCAAGCCTGGAACGCTGCAAGTTGCGTCATGTCGTCGTACGTCTCGTATTCTTCGTACAAGGCGTCCAGCGCTCTTTGAAGTGCTTTCATGGTCGCGGTTTCACCACCGGGCAACGGCTTTTCGAAAATTCGAATCAAAGTTAGGCAGGTGCTGAGAGGTGCTTGTGCATACGTAGTCATAGTTTGCGAGGAGTGCAGAAAGGGCGGCACGCCACGGCCGCGGACTGCTGCATCGACGTAGGACTTGAGGATCCTGCGGATGAGGGCGGTGATCGACGGGGGATAATTTTTTGCTTTTTGTCCCGGGATCGCGAGGTAGGAATTGAGCCAGCGGTTGCTGATAGAGTCTGCGTTGATGGGACAGAAAAGCTCGAGGTTGGAGAAGTCAAGCACATCCTGGTATTTGCCCTCTGGGGACAGTATTGCGTTGGCTGGAGAGGCAGATGATGGACCTTCCAACGCAATCTCGTCATGATCATTTGCAGCGGCAAGAGAGGGAACTGAATCTGATGGAGGAGCTTGTGGATATGTGCATGACAGGCCCCTCTGCGAACACCTGGTGCAGCATCCGACCCCGCGATCGCATTTCGCCTTTGCGAGGGAGCAGGCAGTGCATGATTTCTGTCGCGTCGTGCTGTACCTGTTGAGCTTCATCTCACTTGCCTGGAGACGTGGTTGATGTTGTAGCGACAGACAGCAAGGAGTCTGCATCTCACTCTTCGGGATCTTGATTGGACATCATGGTAGCCAGCTGGTCCCACCATTTGTCGTCGCTACAATGACGCACTATTCGCCGCTAAACTTTGCTCAACTCCGGCGTCTGCGCTCTCAACTCCGGCGGGGTTCCACTTTGAGCCCCATGGATGGCCTCCTTTCGCCTCTCGCCTTGTAACGACTCGGTATATTTCAAGCCGCCATGCCCTCCATTCATCCTTCTTTCTCCCGTTTTCAAGTCTCCCTACACTTCCTTTAGTCGCCATGAACACCGACACTCATTCTAACCCAGATCGAACCATGTCAAGCTCCACACCAGAACTAGCCGTTCTCGAGGAGCCCTACAGCATTTTTGACAAACGCCAGAAGGCCTTGATTGTCATCATCGTTTCTACAGCGGCAACGTGTAAGTAATTTTGACGTCTTGGCGAATGCGTCAACTGAAAAAACCGCAGTTTCAGGGTTTGCATCAAACATCTACTTCCCTGCACTGCCAACCATCGCGAAGGACCTCAACGTCTCGGTGGAATGGGTCAACCTCACAATCACGTCATACTTGATCTTTCAGGGCCTTGCACCAAGTCTCTGGGGTCCAATCTCGGACGTCAAGGGCCGCCGGATTGCTTATTGCTGCACCTTCATCGTCTTTCTCGGCGCCTGCATCGGTCTCGCAGAGACCAAGAACTACGCCACTCTGATAACGCTGAGATGCCTGCAGAGCACTGGGAGCGCGAGTACAATAGCTATCGGGTCTGGTGTCATTGGAGATATCACTACCCGCGCTGAACGCGGTGGGCTTATGGGCATCTTTCAGGCAGGTTTGCTCGTGCCTGTCGCTGTCGGCCCCATTATCGGTGGTGCGATAGCTGGGTGGCTTGGATGGAGGGCCATATTTTGGTTCCTGGCTATCTACTGCGGTATCTTTTTGCTCTTGCTCATACTGTTGTTCCCTGAAACACTTCGATCCATTGTTGCACACGGAGGGCAGACGCCAACCAGCTTCATTACCCGATACCCACTTTCCATTTATCAAAAGTCTACAAAGACGCAGTGGAACCCAAAAAACACAGCTTCTCAGCTCGCACCTACGAAACACGTCGACATCACCGGCCCCTTTCGAATCTTGGTCAGCAAACACGCGGCCCCAATCATCATCTTCCTCGCCATATACTACGCCGTCTGGCAAATGAGCATCACCGCCATGTCAACCTTGTTCGAAGATCGCTACGGCCTGAAAGTGACCCAGATTGGCTTGACCTTCATTGCCAATGGAGTCGGTTCTATGGTGGGCACACTTGTAACTGGCAAGATCCTCGATGTAGATTATCGTCGGGTCAAGGCCAAGTATGACGCCCGACCAGCTCAGAATATCGAAACGGGAGACTGCCAAGCTCTTACAACTCGCGACCAGGACGAATTTCCCATTGAAGTCGCCAGGCTCAGGCTCGTGCCTGTCTTCTCCCTCCTGCAATGTTTGTCGATCCTTTTGTTCGGTTGGAGCATCCAGTATCCACATCGCATTCATATTGCTGTCCCTATCATGTCCACCTTCGTCACTGGTTGGACAGCTGTTTCTGCGCAATCTGTCATCATGACATATCTGGTTGACATATTCCCAGATCGCACGGCAGCTGCTAGCGCTAGCTTAAACCTGGCGAGGTGCCTCTTCGCTGCAGGAGGCACAAGTACCGTCATGCCTATGATCAACGGGGTGGGAGTGGGACTTGCTTTTGCAATGTGTATTATTGTCCAACTTGGCGGGCTGCTACTTGTTACCGTGCAGTGGAAATGTGCCCCAACATGGAGACGTGAAGTGGAAGGGAATAAGCGGGGAGCTGGTAATCGAACCTAGCGTTTTCGTTCAGTATTTGAGAAAGCTGTGACTTGACAGAGTAGCTCAAGACAACAAACAACCTGAGACCAAAAAAAAGAGGAGCACCTTGTGTAAGGTGTATTGCCTAGCAATTGCACGTTTCGATCGTGCGACCTCCGGGTTATGAGCCCGGCTGGGAGGAGTTAGTTGTCGAACTGGTGAGTTGTAATACTTGAGAGTATGAACATACCGCGCTTCCACTGCGCCAAATTGCTTTGTTGGATGAGTTGTGTCCTCCCAAAGCTGCATTATCTGTAGGCGTGTGTGGTGCCCTAACCCTGGGCGGAGATTTGGCCCCATTCCAAAGTGGGGAGAAGGACCTCCTCACCCATGTACATTATTAAACGTTCATGATCTTGATTAGCATCGAAACTTCCATTATGAATGACATGGTACATGATCAGATGCCCGAAAGGCGTGACATCATGTTCAAGTCATCACCCGTCTCGGTGACCTCCCTCGGAGGCTTCAACCCCACATCGCCGAAAGACCCACATATTCGGCGACCAATTCATGGCTGATTAAAGCTGAGCGCCGGTACGTTCGGGGATTGATATTATGGTTCGCTGCTTATAGCAGCAATTACTCAGAGTCGGCGTCTATGAGAACGCTCAGTCACTGACTTGAATGATGGGAAGTTGTTGATATATAATGCCCGTCGGCAATCGCCGAGAGCCATCTCTTACCCACCCTATCTACACAAGCCATCAAGAAATACGCAATAGTACTACGCAACATGTCTGCCGAAGCCATAATCCATGACATCTTTGAGCCCAAGACCTCCACTTGGCAGTACATCGTGGCCGATCCCAAGACAAAACACGCCGTCATCATCGACCCGGTGCTCGACTTTGACCCTGTGAAGAACACATTGACAACCGAGAGCGCCGACCACCTGCTCTCAGTGGCAAAAGAAAACAACCTCGTCGTCGTCAGAATCCTCGAAACCCATGTCCACGCAGACCACATCACCTCGTCGAACTACCTGCAGCTTAAGCTCTCTGCTTTTCAGGATCTCCGACCAGACATTTGCATCGGCAAGCGCGTCGAGCAGACACAAGATCACTTTGGTCGGCGGTATGGAATTCCAGAGTCTGAATACAAGGACGCATTCGATCAGCTCCTAGATGACGATGAAACATTCTGCATCGGGGACCTGGAGGCAAAGGCTATTCACTTGCCAGGGCACACTCCCGACCATCTGGGTTACATCATCGGAGGTATTTGAACAAACTTGAAATATGATGATTCATCTGACCACTTTTCCATCTAGAAAACGTCTTCTGCGGCGATTCCCTGTTCAACCCTGACGTTGGCTCGGCTCGATGCGACTTCCCGGGCGGAGATGCCTCTACCCTGTACGCCTCGGTGAGGAAGATGCTCAGCTTGCCACAAAACTTCAAAATCTGGACAGGCCACGACTACCCACCGGGCGGTGCCGATGGCAGAACTGAACCCCTAGCCGCCACTACCGTCTCGGAACAGAACAAGACCAACAAGCATTTGAAGGATGAGGTTCTAGAGCAAGAGTTTGTCCAATGGCGGACCCAGCGTGACGCCAACCTCGCCACTCCTCGGCTGCTCCACCAATCGCTCCAGCTCAATATCAGAGCTGGAAAGATGCCCGCGAAGAGCGCGTCAGGCGACATGCTCCTCCATCTTCCGATTCATCCTGCCTGGGAATAGGCTTTGGGTTATGTATGTTTTGTGGCGCAAGTGTACAAATAAATTGACTGTGTAACATACATCCTCCAGATGGCAGAAATAGGACTGCATTTTTCCACTTCAACCCTGGGACTGCGATTTTCTGTGATCATCACCCTGATGTTGGTTGCGTGTGGTGAATCCGGACCGACTCAACTGAGCAGCATCTAAACGATTCAAGAGGAGCAGGACCAACAGGGGCTAAACCAGCCTCCCTCACACGTGTGGAACCATGCGCAGGGTACATTTAACCAGGACTGCCCCTTGCCGTACATATCGGGTTGCAGATAAATCTTTGCGGGAGATCTCGGCGGAGACCAGATCGAAAGATTGTTTGAAGGTCAGAATGGAGAGGTCCCGCAATATGCCTTGGCCGGTAAGCATCTCATGTATGGCTGAGGATGGGCTGTACCTGCAGCAGGCGGCGGCCTGTCATCAAAAGCTGGTTCAATACAACCTACTGTTGGCTCTGCTTAAGGTTTATCAATACGAGTTTTGTGGGTGGGTGGGTGGAAGACTTTGTTGGTTGAGTGAGGAATTAAGCGCTTCTTGTGTCAGCTTAAGGGTGCGGAGACCTGGGGCCAAGGAGTCCACCATGTAGTCTCCTGTTATCACCAACAAGAACGACCCCACTGCGAACAGGCTCGGGGGCGGCAAACCATTCGGAAGGAACGTTTCAAGTCTTTCGGCTGCTAGATCTAACCAACATGCCGATTATGCCTCTCTCTCCTGAATGCCGCCTGACTTGTAGGTCATTCCATCATACGATCGGCCGAGGTCATCCCAGGTCCTGATGCATTTGGATTGTTTAGTGTTAAACCCCTGCATCTCATCACCAACCACCCTACTTATCAGTCTTAGCGGATTGTCTCTTCCAGTCCAAGACATGGAGGGGAGAACTCACCAACAGCTGAACCAGGTTTCTCCCATTGCATTTGAGCTACCCAGGAGGACTTGCCGATGGCCCGCATCCCCTAAAATAGCAACAGGCGATCAACTTTTTGTGTTGGCTTGACCCCGACTTTTCAAGTCCGCAAAGCCCCGCATCATCAGGCATTTTGATCCTTCAAAGTTTTAGTCAATCGAGAGGGGAGAGGAAAGACCGCCGAGTCTCACAAAAGTCACCGTTACTCGGCCGCATTTTTCCATCGTAACGTCGACTGACAAAACTCATGCTGGTTCAGAACGATAGGCTCCGCTCATCCGCAAGCCACAAGCACTGTCATTGAGTCTGCTCTGTGTCGTATCTGTCGACTCATCGGTATTCTCCACACGAGATGGACCTCACCCCAGAGGAATCGGATTTTCTTGATCGGCACCTTGAGCTGCTCTGGCAGAGTCGAAACTTCTTACGGCCGAACCCTTTCGCCACGTTGGCGATTTGTGGCATTCGAAAGACACCGACAGTTTACAGCGAACTGCCAGAACGGGTGCTTAAAAGGGTGCGTGCGGATCGCTTACAGAATACCGCCAATTTATCACACTGTTGACTATTGGTATCTAGATTTGGTCAGCGGAGGAAAATTTACCATGGGATCCCTTCGGGTGAGTTGATCCCAGTCCCTCACGTCTCAACTTTTGCCAATTCATCGATCAAAGGGAACCGGAGTCACAATCCTTCATCATCAGAAACAAGAGAGTAGTTATGGGTCTCGACTGGTTCCCGTTGAGAGAAATACTTTCGCTTCAGACACTAAATCAAGCTGAAGCTCTTGCCCTGTCTTACGACGACACATGCCGAGAAAGTTTCGAGGCAATCGTCGAGTACTATGACATACTCAAAACCCTCCCGACTAGACCCGAACCATATCGTGAACCACCACGCCACTGGACACGCCCGAAGGTTGAATCAAGGGCAGCAATCATATGGCGCCAGCTCAAGTCATACCTGAAAAAGGCTTGGAAGCCGAGGAAACAGGAAACACCAAGCGTACAGAAGCTGGCTGTCGGTATACCCAGTGAAGAAGAGGTGCCGGAACCAAAAATGGACCCTGGGCCGGTTCCATTGTTGGTAATTGCCGAACACCGCACCGATGGCCCGAACGTCGTTGCGCGAGAGGAGGGAGAAGAGTTTGCACGAAAGATTGGGGCTGATTTTTTTGAGATTTCTACTATGAAACTGAATTGGGGCGATTGCGATGTACTGGAGAGATTGGCCCCGCGGATGATGTTCCAGCGGGCGTGTGGTAAAGAACAAGGGTACATGTCGGTGGGAACGGAGCTTCGATATGGTTTCAAGGGCTCATTCAAATGACATTTGCAAGAGGACGGAAGAAAATCTTTGAGTACACTGAACTTGCAATTCCCGCTGAGGGGCGGCTGCTTTGGTTTCTTTTCTGTCCATTTACTGGAGCTATGCTGAATGTCTCCAATGACTCAAAATTGTCACGACTATTGACACTGTGATGTGAAAACAATCCGATTTCGCGGTTGGTGTCTCTTGTTCAAACTTTGTTGGCATGCTTCTCGCCTTCTGCACTCCTCACCCGGGTTTGGGTGCGATGGAGAAGTTCGAACCCACGGCTGGCTTAGCTTAGATCACTTTGATGATACGATGTTGGACTGCCCCGGCTACCCGTCCTGGTTGGACCATGATCTGGTTTTGCTTGATCGCAAGATGTTCCTTGGCCATGCCTCATCTTAATCACTTGAAGCCAGGGACCCTGGCCAGGCTAAATCCCCCGCGCGTATTTGAGGCAACCCGCCACACCCGCAGACGTTTATCCACTAAAGCATCACCACGGCGGGTATTTTTATGCCCTTGTCAGCAGTGTTGGCCTTGCCCTGGCTCCTGAGGCTGGGTTTCACTGCAATGTTCAGGTGAGCAAATCCTACGGGATTGCATGCCCAACAGTCATAGAATCTTTACCAACAGTGACCATAGCGTGTGGCACAATGAGTAGGACGACGGGGTCAAAACATGACTGCAAGATCGATGTGATTCTAGAACATGTTGTTCGTAGGCGAGAGAGGGAATTCAAACTCAAGAAGCAAAACAGTTTGTGATGTAGAATACGCAAATATAAAATTTACAAAATACATCACACTACCTTTTAAGACGAGAAAACACTAGTACCCGTTGGCATTATGCTACCGTGCGCCACCCGAGGAGCTCAGCATGGGTGAGTTGGTTGCACGCGGTTGCACTTGTTGGTCCCATTAATATATCTCCAAGCATGCAGTTCAACTGCAATCCTCATTATCCAAATTAACATTCGTGCTAGAACATCTTGGTCAAGTCATACATCCTACTGAATGTTTCAGTTGGACTGGTCATATCAGGGCCTTGTGATAGCAACCAACACGTCCATTATGCCATGCTTGTTTTCAAGCTGAAAGGTCCCTTGAGGCTCACTCATATTGATAAATACTCCAATTTACGCCTGAAATATCTTTCATCATAGGTTCCTCCTGCACTGGTAGATAACATTCGCTTCCTGTTACCCCTATTCGTTTTCTCTTCATTTCCGTGATCATGCGGCTTACTCGCCTGGATCTGTTGCTCCTTACT